AGAGAGAGAGAGAGAGAGAGAGAGAGAGAGAGAGAGAGAGAGTGGTACCAAGAGGAGAGAAAACTAAAAAGAAACTGTTTTGTCTTTTGTGAATCGAAGAGAGGAAAAGTGATACGTCGGCGTGTGTTATATTTGTTAAATTTGAATCACGCGCAGCGGCTTCCGTGTTTTGTTGAAAAATAAAAGACTTGTGAAAGCTGCTAGCCGAGCTGACGTTACATTATATAGATTATAAATATATATAAAGGTGGCAGAACTGTTTTAGCTATTTAAGATTGTATAGAGCGCACGGTGTTATAAATAGGCTGACGACGACGAAGAACGATGCTGAAAAATGATGAATCGGGACTTGTGCGTGATTATGTTCGCCCGGGATGATTGCGTGATCAGCGATCGTGTTCGACTTCGAGGCAGGAAGTCGTTTGTGTAATATGTTACTAATGTAATATAGAGTTTTACGATAAAAAAAAAAAAAGAGAAAAAAGAAGGTATCATTTAAAACGTGCGACTGTGAAAGATGTGCAAGGTGAAATGTTATCGGGACGTTTCACCGCGCGTGATGTCCTCGTGCTTTACTATACATGTCGACGAAAGAACGAACAGAGGAAGGAGAGAGGAGACATGCCTGACAGGGAGAGAGGTAGGGAGAGAGTGGGATGAGACGAGAGAAACTGTGTACGTACGGAGAGCACACCAACACGATCATAGCGTTGTAGACCTTGTCGAAGTAGGAGAGTGTGTGTGTCGTGTTGCAGAATTCTACAATAAATATATCGAGCACACAACCACGTAGAGAAACGAACGTTTTAACCTGAGGGATAGAGAGAGAACGTAGGTCTATATCGAAAAACGATGTAATTTCGATCGTGCTAAGATGTGTAAAGGAAGCTGGGGGTTCTTTGCGTGACCCTTGACATTTCCATTACGAGAACGAATATAAAGAGATAAGAAAAAAAAAAAAACGATATCCCGTACCCTGAAATTTGTACTCGTATAGAAAGGTTCTGTTGTTATACGATTTTTTCGTTCTTTCGTTGCTGTTCTTATATGTCGGTAATGCAGCTACCACTCGTAACTATATGTTCCGCGGTAACTGTGAGAAATTGTGAAAGGCACGGAAGAAAGCTTAAGAGGAAAAAGAAAGAAAAAAACAATAGTACGTTTCGATCTCTTGACTCATTTTCTTGTAGCAAAAAAACGCGCGTAGAAGAACGGACAAAAGAGGAGATACCGAAGCTTTTCCCTTGTCGTACCGTAAATTGGTATCGTCTGAAAGAAATCACTGTATCCCTGTCGAAGGTACAAGGTTTCAGTACATCGTATATCATTCGCGTTTTATCTTCGGTCGAACTTTCGACCGAAGATCGGAGAGTTTGTAATCGAATGAATAGTATTTTATGATTGAGGATTTTTCTTACGATAAATCGAACGCGTGATCTTTGCTCTAAGAATGAATTATACACCGTACAGATCTATTTATATCTTTCGCCAATTTTAAAGAATTTGAATCTCTCTGATTTTACGATGTTTACAGCGAGTCATGTACGATGTACTTGACGTATTGTATCGTTCGCGACGAAACAAAAGTTTGGCCCCATCTGTGGCTACGAAATTTAAAAAAAAACGTAACCCGATGGAGAGAATCAATCGAAGCATGAAACATGAACTCTAAGAGATGCAGTCGTTCACGAACGCGTACCGTTACTGCCATTCCAGGCACCGAACGCTATATCCGTATACACGAATAGAAGCACACGGGCTACCTGCGCTCATAGGGCACGTTTATTCGCGAGATGTTCATGCGAGAATATTTTTGTGACTGTCCGAAAACGACGAGGATCCCTTAGGTTTAATTTGTTAGCGACTCGAATCAACGAGAGACACACACCACGTATGTATCGCGATTGAATTTATATCAGAGAACAAACGACGATAAAATTGCGCCAGAGTACTACACGCGGTCAAACGAGATTTCTTCGATGCATGTGAAGGATGGCGTTATTGAAATTAATAGGGTACTAGGTAGCGCGTTAATCATTCGGATCTTTGAAACGGTGAAAGCAGGGGGATGCATAATGGAGATTTATATTTTGTTACAGGAAGACAACACACGTTTTACATTCGCTGTGATCGTCGTAAAATTCATGCTGTTATACTGCCGCGAAAACACGACAAAAAAAAAAACTAAAAAAAAAAACTTACTACAAATTGTACGACACAACGGTGAAGTAAAAAGAAAAAAAAATAGAAAAAAAATGCGTAGAAGAGAAAAAACGTGAAAAAGCAGATAGATTTTCGACGAGCACAGCTCCGATGATAGACCAATAGAAACAACGATACCTCAAGAAGACTCAATAGTTAATTATCTCTTTAACGGATTAACTTGTACAGAATCGATATTCTTTTACAGTGAATAATTACGCATACCCACATTACAGTTGCATACACACATACACAGACGCACTAGGAAGAACAGAGCGAAATACGTGATTCGACATCCGCAAATGCAAAAGTAAAAAAGAAAAAAAAAACGATTTTCTGTCCCGCGTTTCATTGAATTGTGTCTCCGTGCTCGCAATTTGCACTCCGTGTGTACGAAAGCGATGAGAAATATGCGTTTCCAGCCAGAAAAAGAAAGAGAAAAAACAAAAAGACAAGCGTTAATCCTTTCCAAGCACAGTTCATGTTGTTCCTATAGCTACGCGAAAATTGTTTCTTTCGACAATTAAATCATCTATATCTATATACATGTGAAGTTTTATTCGTCACCATCAATTCCTTCCCCGGTTCTATTCGCAACAATTTCATTTTTACACATCAGTAAGAAACATTTAAAAAAGTAATTTCTTTTGAAATACTGTTCGGAGATTTATAACTCGCAATAATATTTACTTCAACTCAAATTACTAAGCAAAATTTATAACTTACTCACCGTATGATTACGTAATAGCGTATTCGGTAAATTTACTGTATAAACATAACATATATCTATGTAAACATCCGTAACGCTGGAGAAATCGGAGATCTGAAACCACAAACGAACTGCAGGAGAAAAATGTTTACGTTGTTTACTTCCTTTCCATCCATACGAAATGTTTGTATAAAACAATTGTTCTACAATTTTTCACGGTTTAAGAAAGATGACATTAATTGTTCTGTTTGTACACGCAGTGGAAATTAACGTGCATATATATCCCTTAGAATAAATATTGCGGTTAGAGGTTCGACAGCTGCGTGGACAGTACCGCCATCACGTAGGTAATTACTCGAACCGGTAAGTGCACTAACCTACTCGAATTTAGCGGAACGCATCAATATGGCCTCCGGTAGCTGGCACGCGTGCCCGCTCGCTAATTATTTAAGTAATTTCGGGGAACGTGCGAGTGTACGTTGAAATAAACACTTCTGCAAAATGAACATGTCGGTAGAGAAAAAGAAGTACTCGTCGGCGCTGCCAACAAATTGGCCGACGAGGGAAGAGGCATCCAGAAAGAGTCAAAATCAGTTGTCATCTACTGGAAAGGTTGACGTTTACTACTACAGGTACGTCTTGTATTTTACAATTTTTAGACAACACTCTTACGTTGCATACCGGTTACGTATTGTATATGGAAATTGAGAGAAGCTTGTAATGAATACTGAATCGATCGTAACCGATGCAGGAACATTTAGTGTCATTCATTTCTAACCTCTGTAGTGTATGTTTATGAGTACTGCATACTCTTTTTTTTTTTCGTAGCCGTGGAGTAAGAAACGACGCATCGTTGGTACCACCGATAAGGCAGACGGCGTCCATATTTAAACAACCAGTAACCATTTACAAGACACAGGAAGGGAAGGTGAAGGACATCAAGCATGGAAATCAAGAAAAACCAAAACAGGTTAGTATTTATCTTTTTAAGTTTCATATGTGTACATACATGTTAATTAATTAAAATGTTGAAACAAATTTTGACGTTTTCCAGTCTTTGTATTTGTTATTCAAAGGAAAAACGTTTATGAGTTTAAAAATTCAATGTTTCATTCATCATTTCATTTGTTGGAAGTTCACAATGTATATATAAAACATTGTCATCACCTAGTAATAATCATACCCCTTTCATGTGTAAAGATAATGTCACAAACATTTTCAATGTTGTAATGAAAATGCAGAGTCATTAGGATCTATAATATAATTTATTATGGTATTTAATGTTGTTCCCTGTAAATTCTCATGGTTCAATCATCAAATCATTCGTTTAGGAAGGAGCCGATAAAACTGATGGCAAATATGGCTCCCAAGATAAGCCTAAGCAGGTAACACATTGTTCGATGTGCTTATGGAATCATTATTGATTATGTGTTTCTTTCTGTCTGCCAATGAACATACAGTGTTTTGTACAAAATGTCTATGAATAGGCATCCATGGAAATCAGCTATTATAAATGTAGTTACCTAGTGCATGTTTCATTAGACAATTTCTTATTACGCAAACATCTCACACAAATCAGAATCATAACCAATATATCTTTAGCACAATGTATAAGGATTGTTGTATTTTTTAAGTTTTCTATTGTCATGTATTTTTAATCTTTTATTACTGAAAATATAATGCACTGAACTTCTTCTTTAGAGAATCCACAACATTTAACTGTACATTATCATCTTGCTTGTGTCATGAAGCAAATACATCTTGCTTTTGTGATTAGATTACTCTTATGCGTGTTAAGTATTATTATACTATATGCAGTGATATTACTTTAAATGGAATGTTTATTGTTACTATAATTTTTTCAATTTTGCAGCTATTTTGGGAGAAACGTTTGGAAGGCTTGTGGGCGTGTGATCCAGACGGATATGCGTTCGCTGCAATGGATTTGCCAAAAGGTTTAAAGTCAGTGGGCCCGTATATCACGGAAGAAACGTTGCTACAGAGCGTTGCTACTGCGTTGCACGTTTCGTCTCAACCAGTCACGGGACAAACGGGTTCAAAAGCAGCTTTAGAGAAGAATCCCGGGGTATTTCTTAATCCCGATCAACCCCTCGTACAGGTAGAATAGATATTTAGATACCAAATAGGGTGATACGTTAATATAAACTCGTGTTACGTGATAAATACACTTAACCATACGATCGAACACCCTATTACGGAATGTAAATAGTTATGTACTGGAGGTTTGAAAGGGTACATCGACAGAAAAACATAGAGGCATTACAAAACGAACCCATTAAATCCGACAATTATCCATGCAATATCGACAGATGACGTTTTTTTTCTTTTGTCTAAGGCCGTCTCGATAGCTGACGAAGACATCAAGAGGCAAGAGGACCGTGTTGCTCTCGCAAGAAAAAAGCTTCAAGATGCTTTACGAACAATTCCTACATAAATTGTACAATTTTTTTAGCTGTATTTTAATTCGCTCATCCCTAGTCCTAAGTTCGTTATAAATTATGTCATATCGGTTTTTATAATAAATGTTTTGTAAAGAATCATATGTAACTAAGTACAATACGATACTATACGTAATTTATAATGTAACTATCTTGTAAAACACTGATAAATCTTTTTAAGTTACCAGACTTTTGCAAATTCAATCGTTCGTACATTGCAATACGTTTACAATTGTGTTGCGCTGTGAGATTACAACAGACAGCGATCGTTCGATCTATGAGGTAATTCGCAATTCCGGGAAACAGTTTCGACACTCCGATAAAATCGGGTTTGAACATGAAAGAAGGGTTCGAACGGGTCAGCTGCGCCTCCATAAAATCCAATTTCGCTTTTAGTTACGAGCTGCTGATAATACCGATGATTCGAGTACCGTGGTTATTCACCATCTGCTCGGATTTTCGGGTGTATTGAGAAAATTGAGAAGGGCCAACCACTCGATGATTCTTCGGGTTCGACAAAGTTGCACGGGAAAGAAACCGCATCTGGCTTCACACGAACCGGAAAGGAGGCCGCACGAAATGATCCCTGAAGCGAACGGTTCCGCGAGAGAAAAAATAGGAAAACGCGTGCAACGAAGCCATATGCTCTCCTTATATTAGTCACGTCCATTAGACGAACATTTTTAAATCGTTCCACGATTATCCGCCACTCAAGAAACGTTCTTAATTGTCCGCGAGAGCACGCGACAGTTTCACTCTGTAAACGTCTTTCTCGATCATGCTTACACGGTGAAATACGAAGAATGAAAATTCATCTTTAGCGGAAACGATTTCTCAGCATGTTACTTTAAATCCTCCTTGAAAGGAAGGACCGAACCGTCTGTTCTAAATTATGGACTGGCCAACTTGTATATACATATACGTCTAACAAGAGGTTAGAGAGAGAGACTGTGTCAATTACGCAGCGACCTTATGCGAAAATCCCACAGGATACGAGAGTCAGTGACACCGTCGGTGCAAGAACCAATGCCACGATATCAAGGACAACTTCTCTTCTTCTAGTATATTCCCGAAACATCTTTCTCAAGCGGACGACAGTAGCTTTGTGGCGTGCAGTTTAGTAGGATGTCGTACGATCGTCTGGGAATGGGTGCGTGCCCCGGGGTCCGCACAAAAGAATGCCCGGGCAGGTATACGGACGTCGGTTTTCAGGTAAGCACAAGCCAGGTAAGCCAGGTGGTAACCTCTTTTTTCACTCTGTCTGCCCTCTCCTCTCCGCCATTCTCCGAATCCCCGACCTCCGTCCTTTTCTCATCATCGCTCAACAGCTGTTTCCCTGTTCGCGAAGGGTCGTTCTCCCTTATTGCCAACTGGCTGGAAAGAGAGAGAAAGAGAGAGAGACGTACTGAGAGAGTACCATGGCAGCCCTCCTGACATGCATAGGCACATGTCCTACTTTAAATCGTTATAATTCGTCAAACACGTTTGTAGATCCTGTCTAATCGGCCTTACGTGTCTTCTCTTTTGGAAACGTACAAGTGTGCGTGATATACCGACGAAGGAAGTCTGATCGAGGATGTGACCCGAATATTCAGCATACATTGTCAAGGATACGCTCGTTTCATCCGACTTTTTAGCATCGAAGTGATGCGACACTGATCGTCTAGTGACGATAAACGTTTATTATGTAGAGAGGATAGTTACTGTGATAGGTTAGAATATTCGAGGCTTTGAAGAATTGAATTTATTGTTGAAAGTATCGTAAAGAGGTTAGAGATATACCGTTTTTGTAACTGGACGTATTACAGGAATGTTTTTATCGCTTATCTGAGAATATTATCGGTTTGCCGCAAGAATTTTTGCGGAGGCTTTGTTAGACTGTCTAGATTATTCCGGAATTCGTGAGCGAACTTTTACGTTCCGACGTGTTTCTAGACTTTATTATTATGATTATCGTAAAAACTATATTACACTACATCGCACTATATTTTCCTGTACATTATACCGTGTAATTTTTATACAGGTTATTTATTCTCACAATGAAAAATAAAAACGTATGTACGTACAATTATCCTAACCCCAAAAAATAATTCTTTCTGAAATATCTAATATTTTTTCTTTACAAGCACACATTCATTTTTGTATTTACATTACAATGCACAATATTAAACACTTTGCGATTTCAACGTGTTATCAAACCATAGATGACTTTGTTGTAGATACGCCTTGTTATGGATAATGTCGTTTACACTGGCAGCGGTGGTGTGGAAAAAATAATAAGAAAACGCGTAGTATCGAAACAGCTCTGGTCGACAGTTTGAACGGTTTATCACCGAAAGCTAATTTTAAACATTCTATATTCACGAAACGATAGGTTTGCAAGAGTTTCTTCGTAAAAACTTGTTTGCTCCTCTTTTATCGAGCTCTATTAAGCAATTGTTAGTACGCATACCAGCCACGATTTCGATGCACCTTGCACGAAGCTAACTGCACAATTTCGCGCGTAATCACCAAAATGGTAACGTGTGGCAACGTTTTGCTCTCCTGCTTGGTAATCCGCAAGGGTACACGCAACAAACCAGATAACAAGGCGAGAACAATCGAACGTATTAAACTGTATTCATTTCACATAGCCGTAGCCGTCCCCTGATAAAACTTAATCCCTGCTTAAACGACGTTGCGGTTGATAGAATATATGCGTTCGCGGTTAAACTTGTCCGGGTAACTTGTAATCCGAGGCGAAAAAATGTTGGCGTGTCGCTTTAGCTCCCTCGCCGGTGGAATCTCCCGCCGGAATTCGAACGAAGCTGCATACAGGACTCCAGGTGTCACGCTCCTAAGCCGATCGAATTCCACGAGATTAGATTCTGTTGTTTTCGCGACACGACACGCGTAAACACGCGCCCAGCGACGATTAGAAAATCGAATCCTGTGAAACATGGCTGGTCACGTGTTAGAACACGTTAGCACTGTTTCGGTACCGTTTTATACACTGTTCTTACGGATAGAAAAACAGGCGATGTATTTCCGTGGAAAGCAATTGCGGTCGGTAAAGTAGGTTTTTTAAGTTGACAATATTTTGCAGCATAGAAACTAGGTGGATTTAGAAAGCTTTCTAAACCGAAGAGGTTAAGTTGGATGACAGTGTTGTAAGGAAATTGAATTTTCACGAACTGATGATGTTTAGGAGTGAAACACCTTAACACGTTTTATCATACTGTAGGAAGTACAGTGTTGGCGCTGTTTCGAACAACGAAAGATAAGTATATTTTTGCAGGAAAGGAATATTCTTGTGTTGTAGTTCGGAAACTTTCTAACCTAAGAAACTTAGCTTCGACAATATTGCCGAAGGGAAATGAGATTTCCGTGAATCAATGCTATTCATTTTCTATGAGCACCAAATGATGAAATTCGAAGCATCTTTGTAGTAAACGGAAAATCTAGATTCTTCAATTCTCTAATGCAATTTTAAGAATCCCCTTGCTTCCTCCGTACACAGTAGCGAGCTTCGTCGAGCGATTCTTCGATCGAGCTTTCGCGTGTATCGCGATTCTGTGCAGTTCCACGGACTAAAATTGGATGGGAAGATTCTATCTGGCACGTATCGCGGATTGTATCTCTCTGGTTATGTCGAACTGCACTCTCGTATAAATAGAAACGCCACTATGTCCTGTTATCGATCTTTTGAGCGCTGGTTCGACCGTAGATGGCCGTGTTGACCGAGCACACACCGGCCACCCCGTACTAGTGTGGTTATTGACTGAAAGGCAATTCGGAAATTTCTGGAGGAACGCGTATTAAATGCATGCTAAACGTATGGCAAATTGTTCGTGATCGACGGTCGGTCAGTTGAATCATAAAAGCCGGATTAACCCTTGGCCCTTCTCGAACCACCCTGAACACGAAATAAGCATTCATGAGAAAGCACAATAGAGTAGCTGAGTACCGTATAGCAGTATAATAAAATTTAACAGCTAATAGACCGACGATTTAAGAACTTTCACGACAATTACCCCGCACTTCGCGAAATTCTATTAAGTGTTAACAGTATCCGTGTTGCTTTCGTGAATGTATTTTACGACACTTATCGAAGCAATAATAGTAAAACTTTGAAATTTAGACGTACACGTATCGAGAATCCTTCGAACAGTATCGAAGGTGTTGTTCCCTTCTTTTTCCTTTTGGTTTTCTTTCAACAGTAATAACGAAACCGCATCGAATGCTTCGTTTTTCAGACACTGGCCGGGAGGAAACAATCAATTTCGGCGAGATGCAGCGGATAAACATCATCAGCTTGCAAGAGGCCTTTCAAAGGAGGCGTTGGTCCATCGCTCTCCACGGAAGAACAGCTGGGGGACCTTCGACTCCCAACTGCTATACGTAATCGATGTCGACTGACTTTCTCTCTCGTGGGCCCGCCAGACGAGAGCACGCGGATAGGAGAGAACAGGCTGCTTTATGTTTCCAGGTATATGATAAAAATCCCTTGCAATTTATTTTCAATTTAAACAACGTATCGAAAAAGAAAAATTAAGAATTAAATAGAAGTAAAATCTTGCATTCTTACCCGCAGCAATAAATATACAACAACGTTGCAGTAGAAAAAAAAATTAACACAAAATCTAATAATAAAACACGTTTACTATACAGGTCTTATAACACAAAAATAAAATCTTTCTTCGAAACACGTGGTGTATTTCTCACTTTACATAACCTATGTAAACGAACTTTCATAAGCCCCGGACGAACCGGGGTTCGATATTCCTTTTTACGTCATCAGGCGACAAAGTGTACACGAGCTTCCAGCTGATCGTGATTTTCACCGACACTCGAAGTCATTAAACTTCCGTTCTCGCACAGGACCCGGTCGATCCAGATGCACACACGTGAACAGATCTCGTATGCGTATAGAGGTGCACGTGGAAGCGTGCACACGCGGGAAGCCTTCAAGCTCGGCCATGGTTTCCGTCTGGGCCATTGTTCGTTTGGTTCTGAA